TTGAGCCAAAAGTGGCGTTGACAAATTATGTACAACATGCAAAACTACGAAAACTGACAGCAGGCTGCAGAGACATGTGCACTGACACACGTATGTGCACTCACAATTCGCCCCTCAGCCGAGGCTCCTCCGTGCCGTCGCACGCAAGGTGTGGAGGGCGCGTTCGCGGCTTTATCAAGCCCACGAAGGCCAAGCGGAAGGGCGAGGCCCTGGCAAGCACGCGAACGACGAACGGTCGACTCTCCTAAACCACCAAAACCCTGGCACTCAGTGCCCGCACGGGCTCTCCTTTTGGCGCGGAGAGTTGAGGCTTCCGAAGAAGCAGTCTCTGCAGTCAAACTGCTGTGAAACTTTGTACACTAAGCTACAGCTACGACTACCTAAGCTAGCTAGAGCTACGTGGCAAAGACCTGCCAGCTAAAACTCCTACGCTCAGGCAGCCGCGCCCGAAATAGGGCCGCGAGCCGCAAGGCCGCGACCGAACAAGGTCCGCACGCCAGCTTCTGCAAGGGACGGCACGGCTGTGCCGAACACGAGCGCCGGCTGGCGCGACACGAAAGTGTCCAGCGACCCAGGAGGGCCGACTATTGGCCGCAGCAGCCTGGTGCAACAGGCGGCCCGCGACCAATTAAGGTCCGCGTGCCGGCCGCACAAGGTAACAGCACAGGTGTGCTGCACACAGGTGCCGACTGGCACGACAAGCTCTGAGAAGGCGGGCGCCCAGCAAGGGCACCGCGCAGAAAGCTGCCGCGTGTGGCGAACAGACGGCGTAAGCAAAACGCCCGCCACCTTGGCAAATTCATGCCGAGCAGTGGGCCTCACGTGCACTGCTTATGCCGCGCAGTGACACTGCCGCAGGCCCCGCTCAAGGCCTTAAAAAGACGCCGGGCTATACTCTTAGCCGCGGCAAAAATGCCCACGGGCATCGCGCGTGCCGCGCGGAAGCCCGCCGCAAGCACTTTACGCAGCTGCCGGCTCAGGCTGTGGCTGCTGCGGCTGCTGCTGCGTCCCGGTGGCGCTGGAGGAACCAGCCGCCTTACCGGGCGGCTTGGCATCCTCCAAGGGAGTGCCCGCAGCGAAGCAGGTGTCGAAGTCGCGGATGTAGTCTCCCACGACCTCGGCATCCTGCACGAGGGTCAAGTGAACCCCACATTCGAGGTTCGCCTTGGAGCTACTACTCCAATTCAGCGACCCGATCACCAACTCGGCGCCGCTGGCGCCCAAGCGCAGCAGAGCCTTTCCATGATGGAGGCCCTTCAAGCCAGCGCCCACCGCAGGGCCACGCCCATCGGCGACATAAGCGTCGCGCACGGACGACCGTTGCAGAGACGCACCCGGGCGCCTGCCTGGGCAGCGCGTTTAAGCGCCTGCCACTGCAGCTTAGTGCGTGCGCACTGCTGGGAGTCCGCTATGATATTGCATATAGCGCTCCCCTGGCACACGCACGCTCGATCGCCTCGATCACTGACGGCGAGTCGAAGCTGTAGGCCCGGAGATAGAGCTTCTCCCGTGGCTTAGCTCGGTCTACCACCTCCGCACCTGCGGCGATATACCATCCGCCAGCAAGGTATTGGCAACCTGTGACGCCAGCTGACGCCTGCACGCCAGTGCGGCTAGGCGTCTTGTTGCGCCGGTTGGAACCCTTGCCGACGGGCGCTGCCTTCGCAGCCGCCACGTCTGTGGGGCTGGAAGGGCAAGCGCGCCTGTGGAGGCACCGCTCGCTGCAGGGCCGGTCTTGAGCAGGCCGCTAAGGCAGCTGAGCTCCCGGCTCTTGGCAGCGAGCCCCGAGAAGCACTCGGACGTGCCAGCTGTCACCGCTTCGACAGCGATCCGCCCGCGGCGGATGGCCCGCGAGGACTCCTCCGCGTGACCCGGTGCGGAAGAACCCTGGCTGCCAGCCACGGGCATCACCCCGAGGCGCTCTGCCGCCGTCTGCGCTGCGCCACAATGGCCGCACGCGCCCTCGGTGACAAAAGCCTGGCAGCCGCAAGCAGCCTGTCTACTTTTCGTACAGAGCCAAACCCGGTGCTGCTTGCCCGTGCTGCCGGTGACTTCAAAAGTCGCCTCGGTGCCGACCAGCTCGACGAGCTTTGTCGGCAGTGCGGTGTTGCCCGACAGCGCGTGCGCGATCCGGTTCAGGACCGCGCGGGCAACAAACCACACGCACGCGGCGCAGACGATCAACGTCGCCACCGCGAGAGCTCGCCCCGCGACGTGCACCGTCCGCTGGGCTTCTGCTCCGAGCTCCTGCACGAGCTCGGCGGAGCTCTGGGCCACCGCAGCAAACGTCTCCTCCACTACCACCACCGAGCCCCGGTGGATGGAGAACAGGAGGGGCGCCGTCGCGGCCGCCGCCACACAAGCCCAAGCCGAGATGTTCCCGATGATCGCGTGGACCAATCTGTCTTGCTGGTGCTCAGCAAAGAGCCAAAGAGCCAACAGCAGTCAACAGGGTTCGTGCGCGCAGGTGCTTACGATGGCTTTTCTTGAATGAAAAATCGCAGTGCTGCGACCGCCCAGGCGTAGGCGGTGGACCGGTCGGCGGACTCCTCTGAGCTCCGCAGGGCGCGCCGTCTTCCGGCCGCGATCCTGGCTCGGGAAGCGTTGTGCACGGAAGGCAGCACACAGCCACACTCCCGACCAACAGCGTGGCCTGGAACCAACGGGAGAGGCAAGGCAGACGGGGCGCGCACGAGGGCCAGCCCAAAGCCAGGCAGCAGCTTTGCCTTTGCCTCTGTCCTTCCCCTGGTGAGACTTCCCGCCGCGGTAGTCGCGATTGTCTCCACGGGGATCCCGGCCGCGTTTGCGATACACGCCGGCGCGGGTGGTCCTTCGGGACCGGAGAAGTGGCGCGAACTCGGCACGGTCCGCCGCCATATTCTCCCGCATCTCTTGGATCTCCGCACTATCGTCGGAGTCCGCGCTCTCGTCCCCGTGCGCAGTCTCCTGCCGCCTCGGGTTCGGGATCCCCCTTGTGAGGACTCCCGCCGCGTGGGCGTGCAAGGAGCACTTATAGCACTCCATCCGGTACGAGAGATTCCACTCCTCGCACCGGGGGCAAAAGCCAACCCGCAACGCGGATCGCTGCCTGAAGGGCGGCTCGAGTAGCCCGCCGCTTCTCGATCCGCGCGGTCGCGGTCTTCCGCTCCTGCCGGAGCGATTCGCGCTCCAGCCAGGCGCCGCGAACTCGGGCGTCTTCGAGGAGCTGGCAGTCCTCGACTGCATTGACCGCCTCGTTGAACTCATCCGGGGACACCGACGATTGCCACTCGTCCGGCGCCGACCACGGGATGATGTTCGCATCCGGCAGGTAGTCGCCCTGCGAGGCGAGGCCTCCGCAGCGGGCGCCACGTGTCGGGCCGCCCGCCGGCTGATAGAAGCATTCCTGCGACTCCGGGGGGTTAATCCCGGAGCAGAAATAGCACACCCAGGATCCCCACGTATAGTAGGAATCCTGGTCGAAGAGGATGGGGGCACCGGGCGCTGCATCCGCAGCGGCTCCTCTTCGTCCGCCTCGACCTCCACCTCCTCGACGTCGTCGTCGTCCGCGTCCGGCTCGGCGCGGGGACCCGCCGCACGAGCTTCCGCGCGGGGACCGGAGGGAGGCCGGGGAGGCGTGCGCTTCTCCTCGCCGTCAACAACACGGGGCGCCTTGTTGCGGCCGCCTCTCCGCTTGGAGGAGTCAGCCGCCCCAACGGCGGTGTCGTGGGAGCCTGGCTTCCAAGCCACGCCTCCCTGTTCTTCCGGATGTGCTCGTCCTCATCGGAGTCGTCCCGCATGGACCGACCCCCTAGGGACTCCGGGGCGTCGGGGTCGACCGCCACCGACGCAGGGCCACCTTCCTCCTTGAGAGCCCGAACCAACGGGATCCCGTAGGTGAGGAAGGTCCCGTCCAGAAGGCGAATCTTATCGCCCTTCTGGAGCAAAGGCAACACCGTTTCGCCGTTCTTCCTTTCGAAGCGGGCCCTGAGCGCGGCCGACATCTCAAAGAAATGGCCGTCGCGACTCAGCTTGAACGGCGTTCCTTTGTGGTCTTGACGCGCCTGGTCAGAGGCCGCGTGCTCCGGAAAGACAGCCGCAGGTATAAGCCGCCGGCCGTGCTCCGCTACACGGTGCAAGTGCCAGCGCGGCACTGTGTCAAACGACGCCTCGCAGATGTCACATTTGAACGAGCCATCTGCCTCGGCATCGGGCACGATGGGTGGGGCGAGCGGTCGAGCTCCGCCACCGAGGCTCGAGCTGCCGACACCCATCGGGTCGTCCTTGGCGGCCGCTGCGTCGACGCGCACCATGAAGGCGTCCGCGTCCGCTTCGGCACCGCTGTCGCCAGTGGGAAGGGCGCTGGGGTCAGCAGCCGCCGCTTCCGCACCGGCTGCTGCTGCTGTGCCCGCAAGGTACGCGTCAGCGGCGCCCAGGAGATCCTGAGCGTCGAGAGGAACGACTGGCTCCCCCGAGTGTAGGCCTCCAGGGTTGCCGTGGCGTACCCGGAGACCCCCCGGACGGCCTTCTGCCTCAGCTGGGCCTTCGAGAGAAGCGCCTCAGCCTTCTCGAGTTCAGCCCCGGCTCTGGCAGCCGCGGGGTCCTCCGCTGCTGCCGCCGCTCCGCGCTCTTCCCGAGCCGCAGAGCTAGTGCGGCTCTCCTCCTCGGAGGGCTCGTGCTTGGACTCCTCGACGCGCCTCGCAGGGGCCGCGACCGAGGGCCCGGCTGCTGAGGGGGCGCGAGTGTCCGGAAGCTCGCTGGAGGAGCCCGACTCCTCTTCGCCCACCTCCTGCAGCTGGGAGGTTGGCCGGGTCCGTGCGACCCCGGCTGCCCACCGCCGGCGACCCGCCTGGCTTGGCAGACCCTCCTCAGCAGCCACCGCGGCCACAGCCTTCACGACCACAAGCTCTACGCCGCTCCTACCTGCGGATTTCCGCCAGGGTATCTAGGAAGCGTCCGGCGCGATCCGCCGCCAGGACCCCAAAGATACTGGTGCGGGGAATCGGCTCTGTGAGGAGCGTGCCCTCCGCACCTTTGAACAGGGGCACTCCGTCACGGAGCAAGGTCTGCAGGCTGACCTGCACGACCGCATTGGATCTTACGGAATCCTCGTTGCTCCGACCATTGCGAGGGCATGTCGCCCAGCACAAAGTGGCACGTGAGGCGCCCTTCCAGGCCGCCTCCTGGGAGCAACCCTCGCGAGCACACCTGCTCCACGAGGTGGCAGTCAGTGCATACTGCCCGGCCTGAGCAATGAGCTCGTTGACCTGCGCTTCTGTAAGCGCCGGGCTCATATACTCGAGATCATGCCTGCAGTCTTCACTATGTCCTTGATACGCGCGCAGGAAGCCCCACCGCGACGTATCGATCCGCGTCCGGCCGGGCGTCCTCCTCGAGGGCGTCGGACAGCTCCTGCAAGGAGCAGCGAAGGGCGCGACAGATTCGCGAGGCTCGAGATCATGCCCGCAGTCTTCACTATGTCCTTGATACGCGCGCAGGAAGCCCCACCGCGACGTATCGATCCGCGTCTTGCGGCCGCGGGCGTCCTCCTCGAGGGCGTCGGACAGCTCCTGCAAGGAGCAGCGAAGGGCGCGACAGATTCGCGAGATAGTTGTGAAAAACAGAGCGCGCAGCACTCGGTCTTTTTCTTGAGCCAAAGCGGAGTCGCGTCGGGCTCTGACTGACAGTGAAACACCTTGCAGCTGTCTGTCTCCAAGCAAAACACTTCAAGCACTAACGAAACGAGACGAAACGAACGTGCAGTCACTTCCTAACTCAAAAGCACTCCTCACAGCTTCAGGCATGCCGAAAACATCAGGACATCCAAGGTCAAATGGGATTTTCTTCCCGTGCGGACAGCAGATGCCGCGGCCGATGGCCGCCTTTCGTTAACGAACCTAGAAACTGTACAGATCAAACAGCACACCACTCTACACTACGCACATCCGCATCGCAAGCGGGGACTGCACCACTACGGGAGTCCCACCAGCTCCCCGAAGGAAAGAAGGTGGGACTGTGGCACACCAGAGTGTAAGAGCAGCGCTGGACCATGCACCAAAGCTCAAAGGTGACCAGCATGGGCAGCCAGGGAGCACAGCAAGCCTGGCAGGCTTAGCAAGGCCACCAAAGCAGGCAAACAAGCCTGACACAAGTCGAAAGGACCAGACGGCCCACAGGCCATAGCCCCGAGTAAAGTTTGAAGTCGGACCACGGCAGCTGACAGCGCCTGTACACAGCGAGTTCGCTACCAGCAGCCTGTACACAGCGACGAAGAAGAACCCCCCGGTGGTACGCACACGCGAGTGCACGTACCACAGAAGGGTCATGAGCATTATAGCCAAGAGAACGTTCATCAAGTGCACTGGACCCCTGGGCACATGGCCACAGAGCAGCGATGCATCAAGACAGGCGGCAAACCTCGACAGACGACAAGCCTCCCGAAGGCACATTCGCACCAAGAGCCCCTTTGACGAAGCCGGCGGGAGGCACTCACACGCTGCAGCAGTACCGAAGCCCTGTAGGGAAAGGCAACGCAACATGAGCATTATGTCAAGGAAGCAGTCGGGCGTGCATTTGGCTGGAAAGCAAACCAACCAGGGCCTCACAGGTGCCCAAGCTCCTGCCTTCAGCCTTGTTTGACCAGCAACTTCAGTTTTCGGGTGCAGCTGACAAGCGCACACCGGCTCGTCTGTCGAGGATTGCCGCCTGTCTTGATGCATCGCTGCTCTGTGGCCATGTGCCCAGGGGTCCAGTGCACTTGATGAACGTTCTCTTGGCTATAATGCTCATGACCCTTCTGTGGTACGTGCACTCGCGTGTGCGTACCACCGGGGGGTTCTTCTTCGTCGCTGTGTACAGGCTGCTGGTAGCGAACTCGCTGTGTACAGGCGCTGTCAGCTGCCGTGGTCCGACTTCAAACTTTACTCGGGGCTATGGCCTGTGGGCCGTCTGGTCCTTTCGACTTGTGTCAGGCTTGTTTGCCTGCTTTGGTGGCCTTGCTAAGCCTGCCAGGCTTGCTGTGCTCCCTGGCTGCCCATGCTGGTCACCTTTGAGCTTTGGTGCATGGCCCAGCGCTGCTCAAATGGGATTTTCTCGCGCACGCTTCGCAGAAGCAGCCCGCAGGCTTGTCCGACATGCACAAATTAACTCCAAGTATTTTGGAGTCATCCGCGTTTGCGGGCATCGCCAAAATGGCGGCAGTGGCTACTCCTACCCTGAGCTACAGGTGCCTGACCTACCTGAGCTACTGGCAGGAGTGGGTAGCCACTTCCTGGGAGTGGGGAGCCACATCCCAGTGAAACAGGACGAAAGTCCTACAGGGAGGAAGCCTCACCCGGAGGGGAGGAACCCTTCACCCTGCAGAGCCTCCTGCCTCTGCAAAGGAGAGGGGAGGCTAGGAGGCCAAAAACCTCCTGACCCGCTCCTGATGCCCGGGGGTCATGAAATGGGCTTGCATATGTTCGATTGTAGGGCACCCGACCCTACAAGCGTAACAAAAGAGCCCATCCGGGCTGTGGACTGCACGGTGGGGTCCATACGAGGGTGGTGCCTCCACATCCTCTACAGGAGCTGATTCCGAAGAAAGCTCCTGAGGGGGGGGGCACCCCGTCCCTCCTGTAGACCCCGCAGCCTCGCTGAGGGAGGGCTCGCTGGCCTCGGGGACCTCAGGCTGCAGGGCCGAGGGCCCGGTGGCCATGAGGGTCCTTTCACCCTCGCGGAGTTGGTCGCCCATGGGCAACCGCAGGTCCAGGACCGCCTCGTCTGGCCAGACCTGGAGGCAGTCCAAACCCCCCAGCTTGAGCCTGTTGCGGCACAGGCTGAGCACCTCAGAGGCGAGGGCTGAGGGCTTCACTGCCAGGGCGATCCATCTCGCCTCCGGCGGTTGGCGACACTCTATGTCGAGGCGCATGAACTGGGCCGGGGCACCGCCCGGGACATCGCCCCTGTTTCTCTTGCGAGGGGCTGCTCCTCCCTCGGGAGGATGGGGAGGAGGAGGGAGGGGAGGAGGCTCCTCAACCCTCGGTGCACTGGCAGGTGCCAGGTGGCAGGGAGGGGCATTAGGGGCTCCCTCCTCCCTCTGGGTCCCCTCCCCTGGGCCGTACGAGACCGGGGGGCCAGCAGGCGGGGTCTCACGCCTCGGGGACTTAGGTGGCGCCTCCTGAAGAGCAGGATCCTGCTCACTGGCTGTGCCAGCAGGTCCCGCGGAGGACGTGTCGCGGCTGGTGGCCGGACCACCTGTTCCTTCCTCGACCCTGGAAGGGGAGGTTGGGCCAGTTGAGACCGGATCCCCGGAAATGGGGTCATCCTTGGTGGTGGTCTCGTCTTTGGCGGGCACCTCCTCCATGGGTGCGGCTGTGGGCACCTGGGTGGCCTCCTGGTTGGAGGGTGCCGTCACGGTGCCGAGACCCGGCGCAGCAGAGGGTGGGTCAGGCTCCATCTCCTCTCCAGAGCTGCTGGGTGGGTCGTTGGCCGACCTGGCCCTGGCCGACGACTTTACCGCCGTCGTTTTTTGAACGATGCGGCGGGACCAGGGCAGCATCTCTTCCTGGTCTTCTGGCTCTAGAGGCACCGCCGGGGCCGTCGGGGGGCTGCTCTCGGAACTTTCCGTAGAGCTGGTTGAGGCTTTCACAGCCTTTGCCGCCCCTTTGCTGTTACCGCCGGTCCGTCTGGAAGGCGGTGGGGTGCGGACTCTAGGCGGCTTGTCGTCCGGCGAGGCCTTGGGAGGGTTGGACCCATCCCTTTCGGCCTTTAGGGCCTCCCTCTGGCTGCGAGGGGGACGCTTACGGTTCCGCACAAAGCTGGAAACCGAAACCCGCGTCGCATCGGGGTCACGCTCGTCCACGTGCTTCCGGTAGGCCTGGACGAGGGCCTTGTCCTCCCTGTGGACGGAGGGCTGTTTGCCTCGCCCTTTTGAAGGGGTGGAACGACCACGCCCTTCAGAGGAGGCGGGTGGGATGTCCCTGGACCCGCTGGCACCGGTGTCGCCAGCCTGGTCGGTCCAGTCCCACTCGTCCCACCAACCTTGCCAGTCCTGCCAACCGGTGGTGGGACCATCAGAGCCGCCGGTATCACCACAAGCTCCCGAGGTGGAGCTGTGGCTGGCGGTCTGCTCTGCTGTGGGCTCGGCTGGGGGCTCCCAGAAGTCAGCCCCAAACGGTTCTGGCCCGTTCCAAACCATTCGCCAGACCCATCTCCAGGAGTGGTAGCACCACCTCCTTTCCCATTCCCAGCCCATCTCGATAAGTGAGAGGGCTAAGGCCGGGGAAGCGAGAGGTGCACGTGGGCCATGGCTGCAGCTACTGCGCTTTAAAGGCTTGGGGAGAACTGCGTCTGAGGTAGGTGTTTGCGTCCCAGGTGACAAGGGGGAAAAGGGGCCCTTAGGGAAGTGCCTACAAGGCTACGGCTTCCTAAGGCTTCCCACCTTGGGCCCAGAACTGCCGGAGCTTAGGTTGAGTCACAGGCTTGGGCTTCGGCTTGGGCTTCGGGGTGGGTGCAGCAGACCCTTCCCCAACATCACCAACAGACACAGGAGCCTCAGGGGCCTTGGGTTGACCTGAGAAAAAGGGGGCAAGGGCGGAGGACCTGGAGCCTGAGGGTCTAGGGGCCTTGCAACCAGACGCGCGCGCGGGCTTCTGCTTTCTCTCCACAGGTTTTGCCTTTTCCCCCTCGTGGTGCCCAGAGGTCTCTGTGTGGGCCTCCCTCGCGGTGTGGGAACCACTACCGCTGACCCTAAGGGCCCTAGAGCTGGCCTGAAGGGATGACTCGGGCTCCCTCAGCGCAGGGGAGGGAACCTCAGACCCTCTGCCCGGCGGTGGTCTCGCAGGGAGGCTAGAGGCCCGTTTGGCCTTTGTGCTGGTTGCCACCTGAGCGGTACCTGGCGGGCCTTGGGCAGCGGCTTTCGGAGCAGGCTGGTTGTGCCTGCCTCTTTTGCTTTGGCCTTTGGAGGAAGACTGTTCCGGGGTGCGAGAAGGCTGAGGGGAGGGGTCCTCAACCCTGTCCGCACCACTAGGGTCAGCAACCGAGCCGGGATTGTGAAGGCGACTCCCCTGCGAGAGACCAGATCCCTCGTTCCCTGCACGTCCTAGCACCTTCTGGAGAGTGTCCTGGGTGGACGTCTCCTTAAGGTATTTGGCCGCCCATTGGGTGCCACGTTTTTTGTGGGCGCGGGAGGCCCCCTCGCACTGCGATTTGGCCACAGCCGTGGGGTTAAGCTGCCCTGGCTTGTGGACCGCATAGCATTTGGTGCAAAGGAGGACTGCCCCCATGCAGTAGAATGAGTGGGACGCGTGCAGGCCAAAGTTGCTGAGGTCGGGCAGCGGCCGGTGAGCGCACGGCTGTGCCTCCAGACGCCGGAAGGCCTCGGAAGAATGGGTCTGCTGGATAAAGAGGGAACAAACCTTACAAACCAGGGAGTGGTTGTTGGGGTTCGTATGGCTCCACTCAAATTGGTGCCCATGGTGGCCTTCCCCTGCCATTAGGGCCTCCAGGCGTTGTTTTTTGTTAATGCCCCCATCCGCGCCAGGTCGATGCTGCCTCTGAGGAGGTTTGGCCTGTTTCGCCTTAAGCCTGGCCTCAGGGCGGGGAGACCTCTTGCCCTTTACCGGGCTGTCACCGACGGCCTCCCATGGGGGCCTGTCGGTGCTCAGAAGTAGCACTTCGGCTTTTCGTTGGAGGTGTTGCGCCACCTCTCGCGCCAAATCATCTGCAGGGGATGGATCCCACTGCGGTAAGTGGGCGATGGCGGCAAGCGCAGCTTCGCCACAAGCGGCGTCAGCCTGGGCGTTGATGGTCCGGCGCCAGCTCTGGTCGGGGCCGAATTCAGCCGCGTGTTCGGCCTCCGTGGTGTGGGACCTGGTCCACGTGACATGCGCCAGAGACGCCTTATCAAGGGCCTGGGCCCATACCCATGGCTTGACAGCGCGTGACTGCTGCTTGGCCACCGCACTGCAGTCGGAGGTGCAATCAGCCCGCTCCTCCAAGTGCGAGGCGAGCCTTGCGACCGCAAAGCATTCCCCGTCGCACACTGAACTTCCTGGGGGGAGGAGGCCAGTGAGTTGGCCAACCTGGAGAGGGGCACC